GATGGGCATTATCTCCTGGGCTCGATCCGCCTCCTCAAAGGAGGACTGGACACAACCAAGTCCTATTGGCCAGTTACCTCTAAGACTAACAAGCCGGGTCCTAATTCATGCAGATGCATTGAAATGTGGTACCAAATGATGTGTGTTTGTGTTGACTTAAAGATGTGGATCTAATGCAACAGAGAAAGAAAAGAGAGAAAGGAAAGGAGCCAGAGACTTCAACACAAAATATAGTTATAAAAGAAAATAAAACAATCAGTAATTTACATAGATCATGTGATAGCATACTATGCTAAAGTAAGTATTTTTGAGCCAAATCATAACAGAAGGATGCTACAATTCAGATGAGGAGCTTTGTTGGGATCAAACCCCAAAGACCGATTTTTAGACCTCTTTTTCTGCTTTGACTGTGTTCTTTCCTCTCAGACTTTCCCCCCTAAGCTGGTCATTCTGGATTTCGGGGATCTGGACAGCATGCCCGAGGCCGTGGCGGAGATCCTGGACTGCTACGGCTGTCTGGACGTGCTCATCTTCAACAGCAGCATGAAGGCCAGAGCCCCCGCCCAGAGCCTGTCTCTGGAGGTGGACAAGCTCCTGATGGACAACAACTACTTTGGGCCCGTCACGCTGGCCAAAGGTGGCAGAATTTTCTGTTGTTCCCTTCTCCTTGTAAACAAATCTGCTCTTTCTTTAGCAGTAGTGACCATTTCTTTTCTCCATTCTGTTTTTTCTCTGCGAGATTCTGTACAAAAAATGTGCTGTAATTGTGCGTTAGGCCTGGAGTTGGCAAAAAAATAAAATAAATAAATAAAAAAATTAATTGAATTCCCTTTCCCGGGATGAGTTTTCTCCGATGGGCAGGATGTGACGAAGTGGCTCTCTCTCTATTTTTCAGGGGTGCTGCCCTCCATGATCTCCAGGAGAAGCGGCCACCTGGTCCTGGTGAACAGCATCCAGGGGAAGATAGCCGTCCCTTTTCGCACAACATGTGAGCTCAGACACTGGAGGGGGAACCGAAATGACTCTTCTCTTTCTTTGGGTCGGCAAAAAGCTTTATTCTGGTCTGTCTAAAGACTGGAAAGTGTTTTGGATAATAGGCGATAAAATGGAAACGATGTGAGAAACGATGACAGGGTCTATTTTAAAGGGGACATATTATGCAAAACCAAGTTTTTAATCATTTGATTGTTTACATTTGGGACTGTGGAGGGCCTATCAGCAGGCAAAGTGTGAAAAAAAATGACTCAGTCATGTTTTTGTGGGCCGCCTCAGTCTGAATCCAGGAGATAAATCAGGAGGTTTCAGGAGTGGGTAGTTTCTGACGTCATTAGCTCTAGCTCATTATAATATTTGAGGTAGCGTGAGCCTTAGCATGGTAGTGTTAGCATGGTAGCGTTAGCGTGGTAGCGTTAGCATGGTAGCGTTAGCGTGCCGAAGTGGGCACACCTCCCTGAAGAAGTGTGTGGATTGCCTGTGTCTCATTTGCATTTAAAGAGACAGGCACTCCAAAGCGAGCGCTCTGAACGGGGCTGTTTTGGGTTAGGGTTAGGGTTATGGTTAGGGTTAGGGTTAGGGTTAGGCAGGGGGACTGAACTGCTATTGGGCTTCATCCTTATGGGATTTTGACCAAAGCTTGTCACAGATATTACATTAGGACACCAGGGAACTAGGTTAACTTGTTGAAATGGGGTATAATATGTCTCCTTTAAGGTGAGTCATGATGTTTCACCTTGTCAGTTTTAGATGTCTACGTGTAACCTAGCAACATGAGGATGAAACCACAGGTTTTAAAATGAAACAGGTGGGAGATGTTGAAGGAGTTGACTGCCTCGTCTCAGTCAAACTGGTGAATTAAGTATTCAAAGAGAGGACGTTTGCTTTGGGGGAAGAGAATCAGCTCAGATTAACTTTTCTTTTTTAGACGCAGCCTCCAAACACGCCGTCCAGGCCTTCTTTGATTCGCTGAGAGCCGAGGTGGAAGAATACGGGATCTCTGTCAGCACCATCAGCCACACCTTCATCAGCCGCGCGGCCGCCGGAGGCTCCGCCCCCAAATCCCTCTGGTCACGTGAGTGACTCCTCCTCCTCCTATTCTCTTCTTCTTCTTCCTCCTCCTCCTCCTCCTCCCCTCTTCCTCCTCCTCTTCCATTTCTTCCTCCTCTTCCTCTTCTTCTTCCTCCTCCCCCTCCTCTTCCTCCTCCTCATCCTCTTCTTCTTCCTCCTCCTCCTTCTCCTCTTCCTCTTCTCTTTCCTCCTCCTGCTCCTCCTCATCCTCTTCTTCTTCCTCCTCTTCCCCCTTATCCTCCTCCTCCTCCTCCTCCTCCTCCCCCTCTTCCTCCTCCTTCTCCACGTCCTCCTTCTCCTTTTCCTTTTCTCCCTAACTCAAGGGATGAGCCAGTGCTGTGTTCAGCTTAAACTGGATCTTCAGGCTCTTTGTCACCAGCAGGCTCTCACTGACATACTTTCTTTAGCTGATTACTTGGAGGGATTTGTCTTCAATTTTTTGCTTAATTTCTGATTATTTGATTTCAATATTGGATCATTAGATGTATTTACATTTATGTGTGAACATCTTTGCATAAATCACTGCCTATATATATCCCATTTTCTCAGTAACATCTAAAGAAAATGACAGTTTACTCTGAACTGATATCTATAAAGTCACATTTGATTTTATTCTGAGTTATTCCAGAATTACTTATTCAATTTAAGCTTGGCAAAGTGACCGATAAGAGAGAAGTAAATGAGCTTGAAATCTCTCTTGGTAACCCAATGATCTGTGTTTACCCCCAAAAAGTTCCTTTTTATTTTACCAGGTGTCTGACATATAAACTCATATAAACTTGCAGATTTCTGCGGCATCCCTTCAGACAACCATCTCATTTTGCTAAACAAACGTCTCTGGACCCTCTTAAAAAGCTTGTTCAAGAAGCTCAGGACAACATGGGAACTAATGATGAGCACAGACTTTTAAAACTACATTAGTCTCTTTTATTTGCAGTGTTGTACACCCGGAAGCCTCTCGGGGTTTCTCCGGATGAGGCCACGGCGGAAATCGTCAGGACTCTGAACAACAAGAGGAGAGAGGTGCTCATTGCCCCGTCGCTCCCCAAGATGGCCATCTACGCCAGGTCCTTTTTCCCCAACGTCTTCTTCGCCATCATGGCCGCGGGAGTGAAGAGCTCTGCCGCCTCTGAGAAGATGTGAATTGCTGCCATGGCAACGGAGCCACGGTGGACGAGACGAATCAAAGCAGAAAATCTGACTGTTTCAATGTGGAGTCTGCAGTTTGAAGTATCATAAAATGTGCCTGTAAAAAACTGTAGTTTAGTTACAAAATTCTGAAATGTCTTTTGTATGATTACAGAATCAATTACAAAACTTGTTTTGAATAAACTATATGAAACGACTGTGTGAATTAAACATTTGGCCTCATTTACTTTTTGGTTTTTGTATGTAAATGTGATACCAGAAACTTTGTTGGAATCTCAGGCTTTTTTCCAAAACGCTTACTTTTATATTATTAATCAGCTTCTCTGCATGTGTTGCAATATTAAAGAATATTATTATCCAAACTCTTTATAAACATTGTCCCCGGAGTTTTATACTGCATAAAATCCTCAAGCAAAATGTTTTAAAAGTAGCTAAATGAGTTGCTTTCATTCATATCAACTAATCTGAATAATTAGGATAAAATAATCAATTTTAGTTTGAGTGGTTACTAAGAAAACAAACCTTCAAAAATGGAGCTAGGTAAATATTACACAACAGTAAACATGTTATTTTTTCCTTTTTTAAACTTTGTTTTGTTTGTTGTTGTTGAACCTCTACACATAATTTACAATGATGTCTTTACAAAAAAATTTAAATCATCCCAAAAGTTTACTCAAATAATTGGTTTACTTATTAAAGGTCTTTCATAACTATATTGTAGATATTTGGCGCCCCCTGGTGGACACGGTGGAGAACTACAGCGCGTCCACAGGCAGCGGAGCTCCGTTTCTGTTGGAAGAAATGGCCTCTAAAATAACTTCCAGACTCTGTGGGTTAACTCGCCAAATCAGGTCCAGCCAGACCAACCTCCGAGCCCGGAGCTCTGACGGAGGTTTGACGGTGGAACATGACCGGACGAACCGGCGCTTCACCGTGGCTCCGGGAGCGGGCACCGGTGAGCTCACAGCCGGGACTGAGGCTCTATTTCCGGGTAGATTCTGTAGGGGAGCCCGGTGTGTAACCGGGGCCTGTTTCGGGATTTATTGTTTTGTCTATTCATTAAGACATTTCTATGTTTGTTTTACCTGTATTTTTCTATTCTAATCACAAATCGAGAGTATTATTCTATCTTGCGGAGAAAAAATGCACAACCAAACTTAATAGAAAAATAAACTATTTTTAAGGTGCCCTTGGCTGTGAGCAGCTGTTCAATAACTTTTGCCTTTAATATTTATATTATACGGACTACGTCAACTCAGCTTACAATTCGTCATGTTTAGTATTAGTAGTTAAGGCCAATTTAATAGATTTTTGCCAAATTTTATTCCAATTGTAGAAGATTAGAAGGCTGGAGTTTTGTTTGTGTGTTTGGTGTTATTCATGGTTAATTCGTTTATCAAACTGAATAAGGTGTAACTCTAGCTCTGAGTTAATTTTGTGTTCAAAGAAAGGCCTGGTCAGCAGCTGTTTTTCTGAAAACAGCTGTGCACATCTGTAAACCTCCACAGACTGTAATCCTCTTTAGGATCCCGGTCATACTGAGTGCAGCTTGAAGCCCCTTGGGTCTCTGTCCGCAGGGGTCCAGGAGCAGGCCGTGCTGCTCTACAGATTCACGGGAGAAAAGGAGGTGGACCTGATGTCCACCTTTGTTCCGGAAACATTTCGAGGCCAAGGAGTCGCAGCCCTGCTCTCCCAGGTCTGAGTCCCACAGGTCTGATCTGAGCAGAGTCACACAGGGAGAGTCACTAATTAAAGCTGTCGTTGCTCATATTTTAGGCCGCCATGGACTTTTTGGTGGAGGAGAAGTTGAAGGCACGCATTTCCTGCTGGTACATAAAGAAATACGTCGAAGATCACCCCGAACATCTTTACAAGGAGCTTGTTATCAGTTGACTGCTCACAACCACCACACACCTGGCAGAGCTTTGTAGGGTTTTAAAATCTGATCTGAATGTAATCAGCTAATGTTAGAATGAAATACACCATTTATAGTAATTAAATGTGTTTCATTTGAGATGTTTTAAGTCACATGAAGAGGGAAAATGTTTATATTCTTTCAGCTTGTGATTTTTAAAACAATGTATAATGTTTATACGATTTCATATCTGGATTCTTTTGATTCTTTTTTGATAATTTAGATGAATAAAACTGAATTATATTGATGTCTTGGAGATTCTTATTCTCCCTATACACACACGTAGAACACAGAAATCTGAAGAACTGGGAAATCTGTCAAAGAAAAGTCTGAAATGGGTTTATTTTGTGGCTGTCCGTTATGCACATTTAACATCATCATGATGCCATGTTTAGAAAACAATGCACAAAAATGCACAATCTGCTTCCAAGAAACGGACTAAACCTTTCCTCTGGGGAGGCTCAAATCCCGTTTAAAAAAAAAGATTCTCTTGTTAAACTAAACATATTATGAGGATGCTGTTATAACTCACCTTTATGCCAAAATAAATGTCCACAAAGAGCATAAATGATTGTTCTGAACACTTTTTTTTACCTTAATATTAATCAGACTGATCCTAGAAAATAGGCACTGTTTTACTTTTCTACATAACCTAACTATCCTTCTTGCTCATAAACCAAATATAATGATAATGACAGGCTGTTAGAAAGTTTTATTTTATTCATGAACCTCATTTTCCCATAATCCATCCAATAATTGTTCTGGTTTGAAAATTTCACTCCCGTTTCCAAAGGTGGGAACTGTATTTCTGACACTTTAATTTGAAATATTACAGGTTATTGGTGGTTTTGATGCCTGCAGGTTTAAAAATAATGAAGCAAGTCCTTTTGATCTGACCTTTTTTAAGATAAACTTCCACAGAATTCCTTGTTATTTTCAGGAATTGTGTCCCTCTTCATCCTTTATTGACAAACTAAATGTCATCATTCCTCATGAATTATTGGGGTTTTATGAATATTTATGCCATCCGTTGATATCTTAGAATACAGATGGACCGTCATGGAGCATAAGATTCACAGTTTTTTCTGGCACAGAAAACTCCCTCTTGCACACAATTGCTACGATTTTTACTTTCAATACTGCAATTATTGCAAAAGCCTTTAGGATTTTTCCTTTTTACCTTTTCCACACATAACTGAGCTTTGATTTTCTTTTTTCCTTTTTACCTTTTCCACACATAACTGATCAGTGATTTTATTATTCAAACGGACAACTACTTTTGAAAAAAGGGGGAAATGATGCATCTGTGTGTAGAAAAGAGAAATATGACATTATTTCTTCCAATATAAAAGAGAAATATGACATTATTTCTTCAGATAGAAAAGAGAAATATGACGTTATTTCTTCCAATAGAAAAGAGAAATATGGCATTATTTCTTCCAATAGAAAAGAGAAATATGACATTATTTCTTCCAATAGGCCCCAAAAACAGCCTGTTTTCCAAGGTCTTTTTGACCTGAGAGGGCTAAATTTGCATTGAGCTACAGAGCCAGAACTCATTGACAGAAATATTGGAATATATTATAATATTTAGGGCCTATCTGAGCAGGAGGGGCTCATCCCCAGCCTGTCACAGCTTAATGTGGACGACGTTTAGTCACGAACAGCCTGATTACAGGCATGTTTGTGAGAGCTGACCATGTTAGATTATCGTTCGGAGGAGAAGCTGGGGGCTGCAAACAAGCTTCTCCTGGATCAGACGCTTTAAGAAAGTTTAAGAAAGATGTTGTCTCCTTTCTCTTTCTCCCTCTCAGTGCAAACTCCCTCCATTAACGATGTTACTAACTGGACTCTCTCCCTTTCCCCTAGTCGTGTGCTTTCTCCTTTCCCTTTCCTCACTTCCTGCAGAGGTTCCTGGTTCTGGAGCTGTGGAGTCTGTAGGAGCCTCGGTTGGATGTCCAACTCCTCCCACATCCAAGTCGGCCAT